CAACAAATCTTTTAATCTAGGGCACAAGCCCTCCACAAACCAATCGCTTACATCATTTTCAGTCAGAATTTAATCGGCATCAAATCTACTTAGCTTATTAAACTCACATTCGTACTCATACACTGTGTAATTCCCTTACTTTAGACTCGTGAATTCTTGCTTCATTTGCCTAATAAACTGATCACCAATGTACTTATTCCTGAACTCTTATAAAAACAACAACCACGTCAATTGATCACTTGACATTCTCATGGTGACATTTGTCCACCATACTCTAGCATGCCCGTATAGCAACGAAACTACTCAATCTAACTTCTCCATTTTAGAGTAGTGAAGATCCTCTAACATTACCTTTACATCATTTAACCAAAGGCCCGCAACAACATGACCTTCGTCAGTTTCACCATTGAACTTGAGTGCTCCTAACTGTTTTAACTCTTTCGCTACATTCATTCTAGAAGTTGAGGGGGCAAGAGGTTGGAAACGCGTCAAAATAGCATTCAACATCCTAAAAAATACCCCCTGATCTTGTACAGGCACTCTCTGAGGTGCCTGCTCTTCACCTTGCATGGCCAGGGCAAGTGAATTACTACTATCTTCATGTCTATTATCTCCCGCTTCACTTCGGGAGCTCTCGTGGTCAGACATATAATATAACATAACAATTCAACTCTATTAGCAAGACAATATACTCCTTACACTATCAAATCAGAAATTTTTACTTTATATTGGCATATATACTTTTTAAAACACATTTGTCTTTGGTTTAAGCCTGGAATCGACTAAACCATAGCTATGATACCATTAAATGTAACACCATAACCCGTATCCGACCTGAATATGAATCTGAGGTGTCACATTGACTTTTCAAATCGTTTTCTTTTAAAAGATAGTTAAAATTTAAACTTTTATTTATATAAAAATGGTGGAACCCTTAATCAATAGTAACTAATGAAAGTTTAAACTCAATTTAAAAGTCATAACTCCATAATTTACATAAATACAATAAGTTTTGTTTACAAAACTGATCAGACCATATACGAGTCAAACCATTAATTACATGCCAAAAACATTCGATATAACAAAATACCTACGGTTTAATTCTTTCCTGATATGATCTTCTGAAAGGAGATGTTGACCTGACTTGCTTAGCTTTACTCTTCTTGCTTCTTTGAACCTACGTGTGAAACACTCACACGCTAAGTGTTTGACTTAGTGAGGCATATAATGCATAAATGAACATTAAAACATGTAATCACGTAATTAACTTTTCTAAACATAATAAGTACATAAACTATCATACACTTCACCCATCAAGAACATGTAATATTATGCATTTTTCATTAATGCTATTTCTTTTAATATCCCATGATACCTTCTTTAGAAATAAAATCCTAAAACACTTAGACATATTCTAAACATATCATAAATCATATAAAGAAACCGTGGAACATATTAACTTAAGGTATGTGAGTGCATTGAGGTTGTGCACTGAGGTTGTCACCACAGCTCGTATAAATTAAACCGAAGTACCACGTAGAATATGCACCGAAGTACCATATAGAAATGTCCCAAAGGACCACATAGTACTGTCCCGAAGGATCGCGTAAAAGTATCCCGAATGACCACGTAGAATTATCCCGAATGACCGTGTAGAACTATCAACTCTTGGCATGTCAATTATACCCTTAGCTCTCATATCACATACTTATGGGTTTTACCATTTACACATTTCACATTTTCATATAATCACGTAGTTCAATATCACATAGACATATAATCACGTATGTCCTTATCACGTAGCTTATATCACATTTTCATATAATCACTTATGTCAATACCACATAACTTATATCATAATCTTATATCATCACATAGGTAATTGTCACATAGCTTATATCTTGTTCTCATATATCCATATAGATCATGTAACACATAGGATAACATATAACACATATCATATATAACAGTGCATGTATCATATATACATATGCATGTACTCATGTACACATAGAAACCTTATCAATATATACTTGTATTCATGAATTCATACAATCAAACATTGAAAATAGACTCATTGCAAGTCTTTTTTCCATATAATCATATTTAATAATAGCATGCACTCACTATTCAAAGCAAAATACTTATAACTCTTGCATACTCTTATAAGTTCCAACTGTCCGGAACTTGCCTTTGTTCAATATCTACACAATAATACGATTGGTATAAATATCAAAATTTGTATCACTATAATCAATCCTTAATAACATAAACTGAATGAAGCATTTAATTCCAAATTTCAATCTGAATAGTATCGATACCCTTACTCCAGTACCGATACTATTCTTCAGTGTCGATACCCTTTTTACATTATGGAATTCATCCTTAAAAATGGTATCAATACTTAAACGTTGGTATCGATTCCCCTAATATCGATGCTACTACTTCGGTATCGATACTCTTTAAAGAATTCATCCACTTTTACCTTATGGTATCGATACTGAACCAAGATATCAGTTATTTTTGACTTGAAGTATTGATAATGTTCATCCAATATCGATACCTTTTGACCATAACTTACTCGTTTCAGCTTGAATTTTGACCAAAACTCCTTTAAACCTTCCATTTTGACTTCCTCTCAAGCCTTCAAACTTATCTACACTTATATCAACTAACTTATATTACTCTAACACACTTAATCATCCAAATTCTCATAATATCACTTGAAACTAAGAATCTTACCAAATATTCAACATGCTCTAAAATCCATTTCTAACACTTTAGATTTCTTATTTCAACTTATGGCAAGTCAAATTCCACTTCAAAATTCATTTATTAACTCTTTCTTATCAAATTACTTAAAAACCCTTTTTATTCAATCTCCCGTAACTTGCAAATCTTTTAGTTTCTACTTCTCTTTAAGTGTTCACAAGCTTTCCTAACATCTCAAGAATTAAAACCACTCAAAACTTACAAGAATTAACCAACTGAAAGCATTCTTACCTTAGCTATGGAGCTCACGGTGGAAGAAGAAAGATTCTAGAGTTCTCTGATTTTTCTTTCTTTCTTCCCTACTCCACGTGGATATATATAACACCAACAATAAGTTTTTAATTCATTTTCTTGACTAATGACCAATATGCCTTTCCAGCTTTCCTTCTTTTCTATTCAATCCTTCACAAATATATTCTAATTAAGTCCTTGAACTTTTCAATTTTTTAAAATTAGACACAAAGTTTTAAAATCTTACAATTTGGTCACTAACCCTGTATATAGGATGTTACATTTTGTTTTTGTATGAGTTTCTTTGTGTGACTATTATCCTTATTTTTCTTTATATGTTGGAGTGTGTTGTAATTCTGATTCATTCGATTATTTTTATTAATGAAATCTAGGTGTTATTGTTAAAGGAAAGTTGAGGCTTTATGATTAAGTTATTGGTAAACTATACGTTTAGTACCTAAATTATTAAGTTTGTTTTGTTTTAGTACTTAAACTTTCATTTTCTTCAAAATCATACATAACATTTACTTCTTGTTTCATTTTAGTACTCCGTCGTATTTTTTATGGTTAAATTATATCATTCATTACTTAACTATCTTTCTTACTCCTATTTTGATCACTAAAGTTTATAAATTTTCAATTTAACTACTCAACTTTCAAATTGCTAATGTTTTAATCACTCTAATTTATTTTTTTAATAATTTTTGTGACATATCATTTTTATTATCAATTTTAATATATAATTGAAATAAAAAAATTAAATTTGAAAGTTAGAACGATAAAATTATGAGTAATTTGAAAGTTAAGAAATTAATTTAAAAAGAAACAAACTTTAGTGACCAAAATATGAGTGAGAATATAGTTGAATGATGAATGATGAATGATGTAATTTGCCCATAAAAAAGTGTCATATTGTAACATATTTGTTAAATTTTTAACGGCGATGTAACGAAATGAAACAAAAAGTAAACGTTAGACATGATTTTGAAATAAATGAAAATTTAATTACTAAAACAAAATAAAACTGATAGTTTAGATGCTAAATGTGTAGTTTACCCTTAAATTATTTATATATAGTTACTATTTGATATGTTATGATTATTAATATAAACATTGATAATTAATTTGCTGAATTGATTCCTTTTAATTTGTTAATTCAGTTTTAACCAGTTTTACTTAACTCCGGCGTGCACCAGAAGTGTTTAATGAATTGAGCAGTTCAAACTCAATTTAGTCGATATTCAATTAAAACTTGAATTGGAATGACTCAACTCGAGACATTAATGAATTAAGTCGAACAAAGTCCAACTCGACTCAATAAGTTCACGAGCAGCTCATTATTTTTTTTATAACTTTGTAGTTTGGTGATTGTAAGAAACAATAAATGGAGTGAAGAGATGTTGATTGCTTTATTTTAGGATTGCTTACGTGTTGTTGAATTTTTTTTTCAACAATGTTTTCAATATGTTAGTTTAATTTATTTGTGGATTATTTTTTAGTTTTAATATGTTAGTTTGGTATATTTGTGAATTGATACTCTGGAATTTAGACTTTGAAATTGTTTCGTATATTCTTTTAATAATTTTATGGTTAAATTTGTTCATTTATATTTATATTAAACTCTATATAATATTGGTAGATGTTTCTATAGTTAAAAAAGTAAAGTAAAAATTCAGATAAACTTAACGAGTAACGAGTCGAGTCGAGCACTAAGTATTTTTAACGAACAAGAATCAAACAAAATTTTAATAAACTCAATAAATAACTAATCGAATTTAACAACAATTTTTTCAAATGCTCGACTTGCTCGATAAACACATATGCGCGCCTGGGCAATGCAATAAAGATTTTGAATAATTTAAAAATGAGTAGCCGACAAGCCATCTTCGTCCCACCATCAAAATCAATGTGCATCCTTTATTTTCAAATCTCTCTCTATCACACTGCCCCGTACTCTCTTTTTCTCTCTTAAGTTGCAGAGCTCAGCCATTGTTGTTTTTCCCAACTCTTCTTCAATACCCTCTTCCTTTGCTCTTCAACCATGGCTGCTTCAGTGCTGCTTTCACTGCTCCTTCTGGCCGCCATGACCGGCCGCTCAAGTAAGTCCCTTTCCCTTTCTTTCTTTTTATTTTTCCTGCTAAAAACACATTTTATTTTCTCTGTTTGTAGATCTTGCAATTTGCTTTTTTCCTTATCTTTTTTGGCTTTTGTGTTATTGTAAGCTTAGATAAACTTGTTCTTTGATTTACATTTTCCCCAACATCACATTTACTTTTGCAGCTTCCCGTTCCACTATTTTGCTCCCAGATTTCATTATTCTCAACCTTCTAATCTCTATTGAGCTTTTTTTTTCTGCAAAAAAAAAATGATGTATTTCTTTTTGTGAACAAAAATGCCGTAAGAACATTCAATAAGTTGAATATTCCATCAAATACACACATTTAATGCAATGTTATAATGTATAATACTTAGGTGTGAGACACGCGACCATGTGTTTAATATAAGTATATTTACTTTTAAAAACAGTTTTTCATGTCTTTTCCGTATATGTTATGATACAAGCTAGGGTTGTAAATGAGTCTAGTAAAATGGAGTTAACTCGATTCGAAAATTCACAAGTTTAAAATTTTCAAATTTGACTTGAACTCAAAATCATATATTGAAATTCGAAAAAAAAGTTTGAAATAAAAAAATTAAACATAATTTGGTTGAAGCTCAATTTCGAACTCGAACCTGAACCTTTAAGTATATAAAAACTTTATACTATATTTTTTAAAATTAACACATAAATATTAATAATTTATTTTTAAAAGATAAAATTTTAATATATTTTTTTGAGTTGTTGGTAAGATTTTCGAGTTGAGTATCAAATAGCTCGTTTCAATTCGTTAATCGAGTTGAGTTTGAGTTCGAGTTGAGTCTATTGAAATCGAGTATATATAAAGTTGACCTCAAGTAACTCACAATCTATATCGTCTGATTTACCATCCTAATACTAGTCATGGACAAATATGATTCAAATAAAATAAAATATTTTGGGGAGTTCCTAAAGAGAAAACCATAAATGCATACATTTTTGAAGTGTTTTTTCGTAGATTTTTGTCATGTCCAAGTATATATACAGATTTGATACCGTAATGCCTTAATCCCCTTATGAAAAACATGTATATTAAAATATGAACAGTGGGGACATGGTGTATATGCAAGGATGGAGTGAAGGATACAATATTACAGAAGACATTGGACTATGCATGTGGAGAAGGGGCAGACTGTAACCCTATACACATGAAGGGACCTTGTTTTAACCCTGACACTGTTAGGGCACATTGCAATTATGCCGTCAACAGCTTCTTCCAGAAAAAAGGCCAAGCTCAAGGCACTTGCGACTTTGCCGGCACCGCCACTATCACTACTTCCGACCCTAGTAAGCAATATCCTACAATTATTTTATATTAAGAATGAACTCTTAAAATTAAAAAAAATGAACTTTTAAAGTTGGTATAATGTTAAAATTAACCCTCAACGTTTATTAAAATAGTCATTTTACCCCATATACTATTTTTGGAGCATTTTGGCCCTTAATGTTTAATTTTATGGCAAAAAATTCCTAATATTTGATAGAATAATCACTTTGTTTCTTATTTTTTTTTTATGTAACATTTTAGCTCTCAACGTTTCATTTTAGGTTAAAAAGGCTTTCATTTTAGAACATTAATCATGTGTTCACTAATAGTTTTTATCTATAGATGGAACTTTTCATTCTAAAGTGAAATTTTGAAGTAAAAATGCTTCAAAAAATAGAGACCAAAATAGTAATTTTTATAAACGTTTGAAATTATTTTTAGCATTATTTAATAGATGAAAATAAATTATTAATAAAAATACGATACCTGCCCAAAACACTTACCTTGGTAATTTTACAGGCTATGCTGGTTGTCCTTTCCCAGCTACTGCCAGGTATGCTCTAACGGTCACTATTGGTTTTTTTTTTTAATTCAAAAGTTGGGGTCTATCACATTATTTCATGAAGTTTTACAATATTGGAAATATAAATTATTTGATTTATACAAGGAAAACAATGCAAATATGGTTGCCATATATAATGATTAGAAGGAAGATATAGAGCTTCATAATTGACAGACTTACTTTTACCATTAAAATATTAAAATAGTTATTTTTAATTAATATTTATATTTTTTAATTTAAAAAATATATATATTCAATAATTATCGAATTTGGATGACACTGATTATTGCTAACTCTAGTCCTAAAAGTTTTATCAGAAGTTGGACCACCTAGCTCAGCAATATCTAGACTTTGAACATAGCAAAAAGGGATTAATAGTAGTAACATACATTCAATGCTGTAGGGGTGTGAAAAAAAATTCCATTCGATCAATCTTATCCGTTATTTTAATCTAAAATTCAAATATTTGATCCGTTTTTTTAATTTTTTAACAATTCAAATTGGATATGTGAGAAAATACAAATAAAATACAAATCCATGAAATTTTTAATTTTAGATTATTTTAAAATCCAAAAAAAAAAGGTATTTATAAGATTTTATCCAAGCTCAACATTCTCAGCTTTCCAACCACAGCGCCTTGATTTTTCATTTTCTTTTTCTAACTTTTAAATTATTTATTTTTAAAGCCTTCAAATGAGACATTAAGTATTTGTTTTAAAATTATTCAAATATGTTTTGATAAATATATAGTAAATGTATTGAATATATTGTAAAAAAGTTAAATTTTTATTAAATTAAAATTTATATTCTAATATCTGAACTAAAAATTTGAATATTTAATTTTTTTTAAATCCCATATAGAACACAATTTTAGAGATTCAAGTATTTTTGGATGTCTGAAGTTTTAAATCAGATAATATCTGAAAATGCACACCAACACCCCTACCGTGCAGAGCTGTCACTTACATCTCTAATTCAAACTTAAAATTAATTTAAAATTAAAATTAATCTTAACCCAAAATAATCTAGACAAGTAACTCGAACTGGGCTGAACTTAAATAATTTAATAAAATAATCATATTTAAAATCATTTATCATATAATAATAAACAATATAGTGTTACATAAAATAATAATACACATTATAATATTAATAGTTATATATCATCTATATTATATAAGTAGAGATGCATAAAATATTGCTAAAAATGATATTTTTAGTAAATTGAATTTCGGATTAAGTTCTTAATTTTTACAAGTTATATTTGTAATTTTAGGCTTAAGATTTGAGACTTAATGAGTTTATTTTGAGGTTTGAGTTTGAGATAAATGTTTTAGAATATAGATTATGATATTTGTAATTTTTATATTTATGATATCCCACTATTAAAAAATTAACAGAACTGCTGACGTGACATTTTCTAAATTCTTTTATATAGATTATGCATAAAATGTTTCTGAACTTTTACTTTTGTTATGTTCTGGTATTTAAACATTTTAAAAAAAATTATATCCAACGCTTAGTTTATGTTTCAATTTGATATCCCATTGTTAAAACTTAATGACGATATTGACGTGTCATCATAAAATAATGTTATGTCATCATTGAAAAGAATTTAAAAAATGTTACGTCAGCAGTTCTGTTAATTTTTTAATAGTGGGATATCAAATTGAAACCTAAACTAAAATGTTAAATATGGTGTTGAAAATAATAATAATTTAGGTATCAAAACATAATAAAAGTAATAATTTAAGTACTAAACATATAATTTACCCAAAGTATTATTACATTGATGAATACCTACTGTACGGTTTTGCGCTATGGCATTGGTAGTGATTTTTACCCTTTGATAAGTGCTGGAAGCACCACCACCTCTCCAAAAACTACGCCGTCAACCACCATGCCGAAGGTGAACCCGATCAACAACAGTCCAACAAGCACAACACCGTACGGTTTGACGACACCTACCGGCATGTTGGGAGGAGTGGGGAATGGCTTAGGGCCGTCAGGAGGTGGGTTCAACCCAGAATACAACACAGATGGAGGATTTAGGATCCAATATTGCTTCTCTTCCTATGCAATCCTCTTGTTTCCAGGATTCATGCTATTGTGGGAATAAACAAGATAAACTCCTTTCTTGCAGTGGTTGATCTAAGTTTTTTTTTCTTTTTTTTTTTTTGTTATGGATTTTATTCATTTTAAAGCCCGACTTTTGTTGTTATGGATTATTTTATGTACATTTAAATCAAGAATTCAGGAAATTTTTATTTTTAGTATGAAATGGGGATGTTCAAAAAGTTTTAGGACCATTTTAGAATGAAGGTCATAGTTTGGGGATGACATTGAAATATTCAAAAGTTTAAGGATTAATTTAGAATGATATTTATAATTTAGAGATGAAATTTTAAAATATTTAAAAATTTAAAGATTAATTTAAAATAAAGATCATACTTTGAATATATGTAATATCATTAACGTTGGTGTTTCTATTTTATTTTAACAACATAAATTTATTATTTGCAAAATTTTTTGAAGTTTTTTTTCATAAACTAATTTTTTCAAAATATTTTAAGTAAATAAAATAATTAATAATTATACGTATAAAATTAGTATGTATACCGTGCAATGCACAATACACGTGTTTGTCTCTTATAATTTCATATGTACTTATAAATTGAATTAGTATTATTTTTACTTTAGATAAATTATATTGATGTATTTTTAAATCACATTCATTAGAAAATAAAAATTATAATAATAAAAACGTTAAAACGATACAATTATTACAATTTTAAAGATATAAATATCACGAATATTATTTATTTCAAGTTTTCTTAGTGATTAAAGAGATTATTATTATCTCTAGCGGTATCAAGTTTGAGCATTATAGACTATAAGTGTTTAAACTTTCATTCTCAAATGGTCAAATGGTTAAAGAGATGATTATTTTAAAGTGAAAATCAATATCTTATTAAATTTAAAAATCTTATTTCTTGCATTGTACGAAATATTTAATATCTTGTATCACGTAATAGTCTTTATATATTAAAACAATTTAAATTTACTTGATTAATAGGTTGATTGTTTACAAAATAAAAAAAAAGTATCTCATGCATTTAAAATTATTTAATATACAACCAGTAGGGATTGGTTCAAGTGGTAAGTAGCGTGATATCGCTTAAATAAAGTGTAACACCCTCAGATCGAACCAGTAGGGTGTCACATTAGAGTCACTAGAGCGACCCAGACTGAAAATCCTGAAAATTTTAAAATTTTTGTTAGTTCATTTAAATCTGCAAAATAATTTATAGATAAAATACAAGTTCAAAAAATCATTTATATATTAAAAATAGAATTCAACAATATCCAGTAATAAAACAAGTTTCAGACTCGAATATAAAAACATAATACAACTTTCATGCACCCTATTTACATGCATCGTACTCCGTAAGCAACGCCGGTGGAGCTCTTTTATTGATATCGGTAAAAGCACATGATCAAACACTTTAACCTGAAATGGTGAGTAAAGAGTGAGCTTTGGGAAACTCAACAATACAAGACTACCAGATGAATGCAATAGGTCATCGGGTATAAGGTAAAGCATAAATTCCTTAGCGGGACAAACATCATTAGATTCTAGCGGTGAATTCATATTCCATTAGCTAAGTCTTCAATTACAAACATGAATTTACGGTCTGAATAAAGTATTCAGAGAGAGACAGATTCAGAAGATTGAACTGAGGAGTCTAGTGTGTTCCAACAAAATAGAGAAATGTATACAGATCTTTTAAAAACATTAGTAGTTTAAAACATATTTTAAAACCACAATAATACCCTTCATCTGATCACCAATATGCAGTTTCCCCAAAACTGCATCCATATGGACTTACCCTAAGAACACAACAAAGGAGCCACCCTATGGGAGTACCTTGGGGACTATAGGTCTACTCAAGGGTCTCCTTAGGTCCGTAAGGATTTACCAGCTTGATCAGAGCTGAACCTCCGTACTCTGGACTCCTACCCATACAGTATCTAGTAGAAATCAGATTGAGCAGTAACCTTAATATCAAAATTTATAATCCAGTAGAATTTTGTAAAACTGACAATGTAGTTATTTAAATCACATGAATGCCCTCAATCCGTACACTAATATACATTCCCCATACTAAGGGAGTGCCTTGGGGACTTAGAGCCTACCCAAAGAATACTTTAGGTCCGTAAGGAATTACCAGCTTGATCAGAGTTGAACCTCTATACTCCAGTATCCTACCCATATATTATCCCAATAATCGATTCATACATTAAATAGTAGATTCCATGATCCACAAATCAGGAACGATTATATTTTCTAGTGAAAATAGGTAAACAGAGAACACATATCATGTAACCATAGTTCATAAACAGTAAATCAATACATAGAGGTTGTGCACATATGTTATCACCACAGCTCATATAATTCCCACTAGAGGCGCGTAGAATTTGTCCCAAAGGACCACATGTCACATATGTCCCGAAGGACCACTCCTTAAGAACCATACATATTCCAATAGACCAAATAAGTGTACCGAAGTACCACCTATATGCTCCAAAGGATTACATATATGTCTCGAAGGACCACGTAGAACCCTCGACTTTTGGCATGCCAACTATACCTCTAGCTCTCCTGACACATAACATGAGCATTATCTTTATACTTATCACATAGTCACTTATTCATATCACATAGGCTCATAGCTTCTTATTATATCATTCACATTCTTTGACTTATCTCTTGTGATCATGAAATCACTATACTTATTTTCATATAACTTATTTTCATATAATTCACATATCACATATGGACACCTAGATCACTTTCACATAGCTTATATCAACTTTTCGAGTCCTTTCATATTACTTGATAACATATATCATATATGTATATAATAACTTATATCATATCATCTACCTTATGCTTCATTCCTTTGTATTCACTTAGATTACATAACATATGTCATATTTATAAACATATATCACTTAATAGTACTTTATTTATATACTAATTTAATCTATTTACTTAATTCAATCTCATATATTCCTTATAACCTTTTCATATAGATCCATAGATCTTTAGCATATAACTTATCTTATATGTTCTTATCATCACTTTATATTCAAGTTTCCTAATTGATATACTATTCTCATTTCATTCTATAATTCAATCTTATTTAGTTTTCCTCAATTCTCATTAAATCATATAATTATATTATACTAATTCTCATAATTGATCATACAACTATGTACTTGTCCAACTCATGTTTCTATTATTCATATAACCATTACACATGTTTACCTAGTTCCTATCGCTTCTCATGAATTCACTTTCATCATATTCTCCTATTATTACATATTTTATCTCATAACCATGTATTCACATAGTCTTATGTTTCATTATCATATGACTTATATTTTGTCCTCTTATGACTCTTCATAGACATATATTTTCATTTCCATGTATCACATCGATCTTATCACATGACTTATCTTTTATACTCATATAATTTCATAACTTATTTTATATTCTCCTATTATCACTTAATAGTGTTTTTACATAAATCACATAGCACATACAAGAACATATCAACTCATATAATCAAGCATACATCACTTCATAACATTCACATACTTATAATCAAGACTTCATGCACTATAACTATAGGAAATAGACTTATCATAAGTCCAATTTTCATATAATACTATAAAATAAGATGCACTCACCTGGCCTCACTAGTCAATACCGTTCTCTTATCTTTTCCACGATGTCGAATACTTGTCGACTTGTCCGGATTTTGCTCTCGATTGATATCTACACAATTATACATATTATATTCATATCAGCAACCAAATATCATGATTCGATCCTTAATTTCTTAAGCTAGAAGAAAGGCCTAATTTCATTTTCAATTAGAAGTAGTATCGGTACCCCCTATAGGGCATCGATACTTCATTAACTGTGGTATCGGTACCACATATTGCATTCTGTAATTCTCATTTCAAAGATGGTATCGATACTGTCCTTATGGTATCGGTACCATTGGTATCGATATTTTTCTTCAGGTATCGATACCTCATGAATGTCTTCCTTATTTTACTCTTGAAGTATCGGTACCTGATGAATCAGTACCTATTCCCCTAGCCCAGATTTTCCTTTTTCAGCCCAAAAATTTACTCTTTTCAGCTCCAACACTTCATGTTTCATTCTTTTTCATATTCTTAACTCAAACACACCCACTTAAACCCATTTGTACTCATCTAACACATCTTTACCTTCAAATTTCTATCATCTAAATGGAATTCAAGAATCATATCAATTTTTTCACATGCTATAATTTCAATTTATCTCTTCATACTCCTTAATTCCCCTGATGACAAGTCAAATTTAGTCTTGAAATATAAGTACTACCTCTCTACAAAGATTTCATTTAAAACACCTTATCTTTAATCCTTCATATCTCTTTCATTTTATTATTTTAGGACAACTTAAGCTTTCCTTAAGCTTAAGTATCATTTAATGATCAAAACCAAACTTAATTTTCAACTAATAATCAACTAACAAGAAAACTCACATTTACCTTAGGCTTTCACGTACGAAGAAGGAAGAAAAATAAGTAAGTTTCCAGATTTCTCTTTCTCTCATATCCCTCATTCTACGTGTATATATCTTTTACAAATGAAAATAAAAATCTTCCTTGTAAAATGACAATAATACCTTTATTGCTTTCAAACTTTACAATCAAATCCAACATCAAAATTCTCCAATTAAATTCCTGAACTTTTCAATCTTTCGAAATTAGACCTCAAAGTTTCAAAACTTCCATTTTAGTCACTAGCCCTGATTTTGGGATGTTACATGCGATAAATATATTTTTTATATTAGAATGAATGAGATAATGAATATAAACATGTTATTGATATGGGTATATATGATCTGTGTAAACGCATATTTTGTGATTATGATATCAATTATGTGATAATAAACTATATGAATATATGAAATGTGAAATAAGCTAAATAATATTGACCTATGTGACCATGTGTCAAAAGGTATAAGCCATGTGAATATGAGTTATGTGATTATAAGTGATATGATTACATGATCACCAGAGATAAGCCAT